CATGTATCTTGGATCAGATTCAGCCATGTGATCAGGATGATTTCAAATGGAATGAGGAAGTAGGGTAATCATGGGCCTTGGAGAGGAGCATCAGAATCTTTGTGAACAGCCACAAGGACTACTCGATCCGTACTTCTCGTCATCAAATGTCTTTCCCACAAGGAATACTGAAAGGATTTTGCCCCATTCAGGACATTGTAGCTGGTGAAAAGCTGGGAGGTGGAACCAGGGAGCTCTCTGTCTTCCCTGCCCCTAGGAATTCACCGATGGCACAAAATGAATACCAATGGGCTACCTGTGTATCACTAATGCCCCTTAGGCACCACCCCAAACCTAAGCTACCTGCGTGCCCCCACTCCATGTGTCAGATGGAGAGAATGCCAGTCCCTAGAGACAATGCCAGACCCCAGAGAGTCAGGGGGTCTCTCCCCACATTCTTAAAATAAAGTTCTCTTTTATTTCATACTTCTTATCTTTTCAGCTGTGCCAAAATTCTATCGTATGGTTCCCTGACCAGGAATCAATTATATCAATACCATACTCACCCCTTCATGAGATGACCCTGTTCTGGTCAGGCCTTCATTCTGAGATGATACCTTAACCCATTCTGAGATTTTGTTGTGAGTGTGGTGGCAATACCTTGGATGAGATCCTCTAAAACTGAGCTTTTATTTATTTTTTTTCTTAGTTCTGAGACTAAATAATGAATTAATAGTGCTAAAATGAATGTGTATATGTAATACTCAATTTGATGTGGAATCTTATTTATTTATTTATTTGTGGTCTTTTTCCTTTTTTATCGGTACCGGGGATCGAACTCACGACTGCCTGCTTGCAAGGCAGGTGCTTATGCCGCTGAGCTAAATCCCCAGCCCCTATTTATTTATTTTCAAGACATTGTCTTGGTATGTGGTTCAGGCTGGCCCTGAACTCAGTGTAGCCCAATTTGGTCTTAAAATTGTGGCAATCGCTCATCTCTGTCTCCTGAGTGCTGGAATTACAGAGGTGTGCCACCATACCGGGCTAGTTTCTGTTGTGAAATGAGACTCACTGAATGCTGATGGCTTCTCGTCCTCCTCTTCATGGATTTGGCTTCTTCTTCTTTTCTTTTCTTTTTTTTTTTTTTTTTTTTTTTTTGGTGTTCTGAATCAGGGTCTCACTATGTAGCCCAGGCTAGCCTTGAAGTTGAAGCAATCCTCCTGCCTCAGCCTCCCAAGTGTTGGGATTATAGGAGTGCACCATTGAATTTTATAATTTGGTTTTGGCTTCTTAATCATTGGTTTTAAAATATTCTAATAATTTCCAGGTGTGGTGGCGCACGCCTGTAATCCCAGCACTCAGGAGGTTGAGGCAGAAGGACTGCTGTCAGTTTGAGGCCAGCCTGGATTACATAGTGAGTTCCAGGTCAGTCTGAACTGCACAGACAGACAGACAGACAGACACACACACATACATACACACACACACACACACACACACGTACACACAGAGCTCTACCAAGGAAATATGTCTAATTAAACTTTTTGGGGAGGATTTTGGGCTTTTCTTTCTTTCTTGGGCTTTTCATAGGGTCTCACTGTGCAGTTCAGGTTTCTAGTTCACAACTAGAAATGAACCTCTTATCTCCGCCTCCCATGTTCTGTGATTACAAGTGCTCTCTAACACATCTGGCTAATTAAATTAAATTAATTTTTTCTGGCTAATTAAATTTTAGAGTGAAGTTGGCCACTGAACGTAGTGGTATAGTGGCACATGATTATAATTGGAGCATTTGGGAAGCTGAGGCAGGAGGATCCCTGGAAGTGGGGCTGGGGATTTAGCTCAGAGGCATAAGCCCTGCCTTGCAAGCAGGCGGTCGTAAGTTCCATCCCTGGTACCGATAAAAATGAAAAAGATCCCTGGAAGTTTGAATCCTTTCTACATAATAAATTCAAGACCAGCCTGGATTAAATAGCAAGACCAATAAAAATTAAAAACAAAATGGAAAAAAACAGATGAAATCTTCCTACATGTCTGTGAAAAAATAGGAGCCAAAAAATAGCAAAGGAGGCAGTTGGTTGAAGTGGCATCTGCTGAGCTCCTGTCAGATGTCATGTATGTTCTAAGTGCTGGGGACATGGTAACAACCTGGCTTTGAACTCTGATCATGCAGCACTTGTTCTCAGGTATGTATTGGCATGAAGTAAACACAAGAATGGAGGGAAGAATTATAAACTGTGATAAATGCGATTTAAAAAAAAAAAACCCAAATGCTGCATTCATCAGGATTCTTTTTTTTTTTTTTTTTTTTTTGTCTTTTTCCTTTTTATCGGTACCGGGGATCGAACTCACGATTGCCTGCTTGCAAGGCAGGCGCTTATGCTGCTGAGCTAAATCCCCAGCCCCTCATCAGGATTCTTGACTACAAGCAAGAAAACCTACTTAGAGCTGGGCCTGGTGGTGCACATGTAATCCTAGCATTCCAGGAAGCTGAGGCAGGAGAATTACAAGTTCAAGCTCAGTTTGAGTAATTTAGTGAGACTCTGTCTCAAGAAAGAGAAGTTAATTTTTTTTTCTTGGTACCGAGGATCAAACTCACAACCTTGTGTTTACCAGGCAAGCACTTGAATCTCTGAACTAAATCCCCAGCCCAGTGAGAAAGTAGTAACTAACTTTTCAAATCCTGTTCCATTCTGGGGGGAGAGTTTTTTGAGACAGGATCTCACTGTGTAGTTCAGGCTGGCCTTGAACTCATTATGTACCCCAGGGTGGCTTCAACACAAAGCTGTCCTCCTGCCTCAGCCTCTGAGTACTGGGATTACAGGTGTGTTCCATCACACCTGGCTCCTGTTCCATTCTTCCTCCCAAATTGTCACACTGGTTTTGGTGTTTCACTGATGGCTTATCAGGTTGAACGTACTTTCATACTGTCCATGGGCCATTTGGATTACTTACCTATTTTTGTACGTACTGTGATCCTATGATCAGGGCCTTCACACTTATCTACATTTCCAGCCCTTTTTTATTTTTAATTTTATTTTTATTGGTACTGGGGATTGAACTCATGACCGCACACTTGCCAGGCAGGTGCTTATGTCACTGAGCTAAATCCCTGGCCCTTTTATTTTTGAGACTGGGTTTCATTAAGTTGTTAAATTGCCCAGATTGGGTTCAGATTTATGATTCTCCTGCCTTAGCCTCCCAGAGCATTCCAATTCTAGATGTGTACACCACTACCAGATATGCTGTAGTGTTAGTGTTTCCCTGGTGACTTCCAGTGTTGAGTGTCTTTTCGTGTCTCACGGCCATGTAGAATATGCTTTTCACTGACAGGCCAGTTCACTTTTTCTGTTAGTTTTTTTTCCTATTGTCATCAACTTTTTATTTTGTTAAATTGATTTTAAGGAGTTTTATAGATTTCTAGTACAATATTCTGGATATTTTTATTGCCAGTATCTTCTACCAGTACTGACTTTATCCCTGTCTCTGACTCTGTTTCTGTCTCTCTGTCTCTGTCTCTTTGTCTCTGATTCTGTTTCCGTCTCTATTTTTTTTTTGGTACCAGGCATCAAACTCACCACCTTGCGCTTGCCTGATAGGTGCTTACACTGCTGAGCTAAATTCCTGGCCCTCTTTCTCTCTCTATTTTTGTGGAACTGGGGATTGATTCAGGGGCTCAGGTATGGTGGGCAAGCATTCTACTTTTCTTTCACTTAATATTGTTATGTTTTGAAGTAACTTTTAATTTCTTTTTATTGTTGGTGAGATAGTTGTACTATGTTACTCCTTGGTTCAAAATGTCCTCCTGTCTCAGCTTCCTGTGTATTTGGGACTATAGGCATAGCTACCTTGCCTAGCCCATAAATTGATAATTCCAATGTACTCCAACTTTTTGTTGTTGATGGTGTTTAAGTGTTGGAAATTGAACCCAGGAAATGGTGAGCCACAGTCCCAATCCTTTAACAATTTTTTTTTTGAGATGAGGACTTGCCATATAGTTGAGGCTGGCCTGGAACTTTCTGTGTAGTCCAGACTGGCCTCAAATTTGAGGGGATCTTCCTACCTCAGCTTCCTGAGTGCTGGGATTACAGGTGTGTACCACCAAACCTGTCCTTAAATGTCTTGAGTCAGGGTCTTAATTAGGTCCCCAGAATGGCCTTGAATTTGTAGCCCACCTGTCTTAGCTTTGGGATTAGGGGAGATTACAACTAGCTTGCTTTTCTTGACACTATTTATGCCCTATTTAAGAAGTCTCTGCCTACTTCAAAGTCATGAAGATAATCTGTGTTAACTTATGCAGATTTATTTGTGTTATATTTTATGTTCATATTTATACTCCATCTGGAATAGCTATACAATTTTAAGTGAGTGGAGTTCAGGATTTATTTTTGTTAACTGATATCCCTTTGTCCTACATGTCTTACTGAAAAGATCATCCTTTCCCCCCAGAGTCTCTGGAATGTCTCCTCTGCCCATTGGTCTGTTTATCTTGGTGCTTATGTCCAATGCTTTAATTATTCTCAGTTTATAATAGGTCCGACATTCAGTTCTAATTACATTATTCCTTTCGGGGTTGCATGTGGTATTTTACTTCTGTGAAATGTTGAAATCTACTAACTCTTAGGCTTCATTTGCTCAGCATTGGAGATTAAGCCCAGGTCCTCCTGCCACTCCCAAGCCTCCTTGGCTTGGACCTTGCACGTGACCTTGCACATCAGGTATACACTGTCTCTCCTGACTTCTTTTTAAAATGCAGGTATTGACATGTGTGGTGGAACACATCTGTAATCCCAGGATTTGGGATGCTGAGGCAGGAGGATCATTGAGAATTTGAGGCCACCCTGGACTATGTAGTGAGTTCAAGGCCAGTCTGCACTATACAGCAAGATGCTGTACTGTCCAGTACAGCAGAACAAGAAAAGAAATCAAAAAGATCCCTCCAAATATAAGGGTCTCTACCATTCTCTCCTGTCTTGATTACTTTTTTCTCACTGCTGGGACAAAATACCGGACACCCAAAGTTAAGGGAGAAAAGGTTTATTTAGCTAATGGCTTACGAAAGTTTCAGTCCACAATCAGCTGGCTTCAAGGCAGGGTGGCATGGCATGAGGTTACAGCAAAATCAACAAAAGCAAAAGGTGGGGAGAAGTGAGTTCTTTTTCTCCCTTATATTGTAAGTAGGCTACCTGCCCCAGGGCAGGTGTAGCAATCACACTATCTCTGTGCCTTCTTCCTGCACAGGATGAAGATGTTTACAAACTCACTTTGTTAAAATTCTAAGCTTCTCAAGTTGACACAATGTGTCAACTCTTACCTTTTACCCCTTGTCAACTTGCCAACCAGACACACTTCTGTAAACAGGTTTTCAGATACAAAGACTACTTAACATTTTTCAACTTGAGCATTGTAACACAGATTTAACAATCCTTAAGAACCTGTATTAAGTCTGTCAACATTATACTACATTAGAACCATAATATTTTACCCCAGCCCCGCCAACCTCATACATATCCCTTTATGCAAAAGGCATTTTAGTCAACCTGCAAGAGTTGCCAAAATCCTAACAGTTTCTGCATTGCTGAAAAGTCCAAGTCCCAAGTCTCCTCTGAGATATAAGGCAAACTTTTATCTGCAAGCCCCCGTAGAAATGAAAAGTTAAACACTTCCAACATTCCATGGCATGAGATAAACATTTTCATTCCAAAAGTTGCAAACAGGGGACTACAAATGATTGAGACCAAAGCAAGTCCAAAATTTAGCATGGCAAACATTTAAGTCCTGCAGTTCCATGTGCAGTATCTCAGGCAATCTGTGGCACATTGTGAGCTCCAAAGGTCTTGGATGGCTGCACCCCTATGGCACTTACGGTGATTATAACTCCCATGGCTTCTCTCTTGGGACTGCTCTGCTCCCTCCTTGCAGGTTTCCTCAGAAAATCCACATTCCTGGCTTTTCCAAATTTCCGGGGTCTCCACTGCAACTTTGGCTTCACACTCATAGTTTTACACATTGCCCTCTCAGGGGCATAATGCCTGAAAACTTTTTTTTTTGCGGTACTGGGGATTGAACTCACAACCTCACACTTGTCAGGCAGGTGCTTTATGCTGCTGAGCTAAATCCCCAGCCCCTGAAGTAAAAACCTTTTTAATCCCACAATTCTTACATTCTGTATGTGCCTAAAACCAGAGCCATGTGGATGATGCCAAGCTCTGCTGCCAGCTGGAGAGTAGCCAGGCTGTCCTCTCTTTTGGTTGTAGGGGTCAAGTGCTTTGATCCCTGGTCACTCTGATTCCAATTCTGAAAAACAAATTTTTTGTGCTGCTGACATGCTTTTTTTTTTTTTTTTTTGTACTGGGGATCAAACTCACAATCTGGAGCTTACCAAGCAAACACTTGAACTGTTGAGCTAAGTTCCTGGCTCCTGCTGACATTCTGAAACATGGTGTTCTGCACCTTTTTCCTCAAAGCATGTCTTTCACTTTTGCAGTTTTGAGGCTGCAAAAAGTGGAAACTTGCTGCTTCTTGTGATGCCCTCAGGCCATCTTTTACATTCTCTTGTTCCTTCTTAGCAATTGATATTTCCTCAGTTCTATCTTGGTAGTCTACAGCTTTACTGGCACTTCCTTTCTGGCCAAACTCACAACATTTAAAGTAATTCTGCTGAGTTCTTTGCTCTTGATTCTTAACATAGATCTGTCTCAAAGCCCCTATCAGTAGCCATGCTACTGCCTCAACATTAGACTGCCTTGAAATTTATTCTGCCAGATTAATTAGTCCACCACCCTTACTTTCAATCTCAGGTAAATTCTCTGGACATGAGGAAAATGCAGACAAACACACATTTTCTGGAGTCCAACAACCAATGCAGCCCTTCTTTCCAGGACAAACCTCATGAATCTGGTCTTTACCAGCAAGATTTCTATTAGCCTTCTTGTCTTCTGAGCTCTGACCAAAATCTACACAGAATAGCCCAAGGCATTCCAGTTCTCCTGTTTCAATTCACATCTCTGAATCTTTCCATACTGTTTCCCACAGGCATTCCCAAAGGCTCTTGAACCACATGGTTGGGTATAGTCATAGCAACAACCCCACTCCTGGTACCAAATTGTCTTGGTTACTTCTTTCTCATTGCTCACCTGACACCTAAAATTAAAGGAAGAAAGGTTTATTTAGCTCATAGTTTGTGGAGGTTTCAGTCTATAATCAGCTGGCTTCAAGGGAGGGTGGTATGGCATGGGGTAACAGTTCAAGGTGACAGAAGACAGCAAAAAAACAAAACAAACAAACAAACAAACAAAAAAAAACAAGAGCAAAAAGTGGGGAGAAGCAGGCTACCCTCCCCAACCAGGGCAGGTATAACATTCACATCATCTGTGCCCTCCTTTTACATAGGAGGAAGATGTTTACTGAGTGAGGACCCTGGCCCTCTGTTGAGTTGCTTTGTTAAAGTTCTAACTTCTCAAGCTGCATCAACCATTACACTTCCTCAATTAGAGGATTCAGAAGCACAACCAGAACTCAGGCAGCACTTGACTTATATTTACCAGTTTTTTATGAAGGAAGCAACTGAGGAGCAGCTGCTGAGTGGTGCAGAGAGTAAGGAAGGAGAGGGGGTATCTGCATTCCTGTGACCTTCCACCATCTACCCTCTTCCCCAGTACTTTCATGAGCTCACCCTTCTAGGTCCTCTTTGAACCTCTTAGGGAAGATGTTTTAGTAACTCCATTGCCAGCTTCCTCTTCCCCCTAGAAGTGGCAGGTGAAGGTTCCTATAGGCTAATCACTATGGTGGAGCAATCAACCCCCTCTAACTATCTAGAGGCTTCACCCTGATTGCTCAGGTGTAAATCTATGAATGTGCATAAAGAGAAGGAGTTGAATGAAGTGGCTGCTGTGTGGCACATATGTAGTCCTAGCACTCTGGAGGCTGAAGCAGGAGAACTGCTGTGTGTCTAAGGCCAGCCCAGGCTACATAGTAAGTTCAGGCCAGCCTAAACTGCATAGTGAGACCTTGTCTCAACAAACCAAACTAAACAAACAAAAAGAAAAAAAAATCAAACAAACAAGTTGATTATCACCTGGGAATTGCATGGTAGAGAACAAGAACTGGGCCCCAGAATGCTCCAGCATTTAAAGATTTAGCTGCAGAGGATATTTAAAATGAGACCCTGGAGGGGACAGTATTATTAGGACAGTGAGAATAAAGTTCAGGGGAAAAAACGTTGCAAGAGGTAAGAAGTGGGTCAACAGTTAGTTCCCTGAGGTCAATGCTGATAAGACTAGAGAATTGATAACTGGCTTTTGGGAACTCAGAGATGATGAGTAATCTCAATAAGTGACCACCACAGATAGATGGAAGCCCAAAGCTGTATCTGGGTAGGTTGAGAGGTTAAGTAGGAAGTGAGGAAGTGGCAAGCCCTGTGGAGGGTGAAAAGCATTTCTGAGAAATTATTTTTTTGGTACTGGGAACTGAACTCGGGACTTTGTGTTTGCCAGGCAGGTGCTTTTGCTGCTGAGCTATATCCCTGACCCCTTTTTGAGAATTTACGCAGACTGCAGAGAAATAGGGCAGTTGTTGGAGGCGATCTTGGAGGGATTTCAGTATATTTGTATGCTGATGAGAATGATCCAAAGGAGAGGGAAAAACTAATTGTGTGGAGGGCAAGGTAATTCTAAGAATCACCTCCTTAGGAATATGGGTGTGAAAGGAATCCAGGTCACCCTGGGGAGCAGAGACACCACTGCACTGTAACCCAAAAGTTACTGTTTTGAGACAGGGTCTCACTTTGTAGTACAGGCTGGCTTAGAACTCACTATACAATGCTGGCTGGCCTCCAATTTGCATGATTGTCTTGCCTCAGCCTCGTTAGTGCTGACATAACTTACATGGGTCACCTGGCCTTGGCAAGAGGAGTTCTGATAAGTAAGTGAGTTCATGTCTGACACCTTCCATTTTTCTCCACGAACTGTAAGGCAGAGGGCTGAGTCAGAGGTAAAGGATTTTAATAGAGAGCAAAAGGTATGAAATGTTTTTCATGTCTAAGTCTATTTATTTATCAGTGAACTGGAGAAAGGCCTTCCAGGATCAAGCACATCTTCCGAATCTCCACCCTCCTAACTCCCCCCTCCCCCGCTGCTACTGGACCTTTTGCGCACCCTCCTGCTATTCCCCAGGGTTTATGATAGTATCTTTATCAGATTATGTGCCTCTCCATTAGAGAGGGATGGGAGGATGGGATCGTTCCATTTCCCAGTGCACAGGACCACCAGGTAGGCACTATGTAAGTACTTGTTGCAACAACAAAGAAGTTCATGGACAGGACTCTTCAGGATTTCTTCGTTTAAGCAGTTACAGGGCGGCTTTTTCGCCACTTTTTCTGGGAGATTACCCCAGGAGAATGACATCTCCCTTGCAGATCTCACCACGTTATCCTGACGATCGGAGCCAACAACCGTAGAACTGCTTCACTTGCTCCTTCCAGGTCACGGGTCGTTGCTTTCGACCACCTGGGGCCTCGCAGGTGGCAGGTGCCGCAAACCCCCTGCTGGTTGGGGGAGGGGGCGGTATTGTGTCCAGGACCGCCGCACGAAGCTTTGCTGAAAGGGCCTGCTGGTCGCGAAGGGGCGGGGCGCTGGCCAGCGTCCCTCGGGCCCTGGCCCTTCCCGGGAGGCGCTGGCTGCCGGGGATGGGGGCGGGGAAGCCGACGGGGGAGTATCTGTCAAACCTCGCAGCTTGGCGCCATTATTTAAATGGTACGTGCCCGTCCCGCAGCTGTGCGTGCCCGGGGCGGGGCTCGGGGCGCCCGGAGCCGGCCGGGGCGGGCCCAGGCCGGCCGGAGGGGCGGGTTTAGCGGCGGCCCCCGGCGAGGCTCAGTGCGCTTGCGCTGACAGACGCAAGATGGCGGACAGTGCGGAACTAAAGGTAAAGCGCAGCTCGAATTCACTTCTAATATTCGGCCGCGGAGACGGCGCCACTGGTGCCGGGGGGGATGGGTCGGACCCTGGGGGGCCGCTCGGGCCTGGCTCTACCGGAGCCTGGAGTTGCAAGGAGGAGAGCCGATCTCGGCCCCAGCTGAGGGGGCCTGGCTGCGGCGGGCCGCGGGCCCCGGGTGTCTCGGGGGCGCTGACGGGTCGTCCCCGGCGTGTTATTGTTGTGGGCGCCGCTGGCGGGGGTGGCGGAGGAGGAGAGAGCCAGTCGGCGGTCGGGGCTCCGCTGTCCCCGAGGCCCGGCTTTCTCACCTTGCTGCCCGCCTTCCCGCCCCCCCCCCACCGCACGGGGCGCAAGGGTTAGGGGGCAGGGTGTTCTCTGAGGGGGGATTGGGAAAGCTCCCTGCCGCCGCTTCCTCTTCCTCCTTCGCGGTCCCGGGCTCCTGTCAGGCGCTCGCCTCGGACCCCCGGGAACTTGGCTCCGGCCGCCCCGCCCCTCCGCGGATCCTTGGCGCCCCCGCCCCGGACCGGGCTCTCCCGGCTGCCGGCCTGTCACAGGAGGCGCCCGGGGTGCCCGGTTCGTGGGAAGCGCGATCCTGGGGCGCGGGGGAGGGGGAGACGGGGGAGTAGCTCCGGTAAAGTTTAGCTAGCCTCGGGATTTGGCCGAGGAGACGCGCGCGCGGGGGGGGGGGGTCTGCCTGGGCGGGACGTTACTCTTTCTGATCCCGACCGCTGGGGAAGCAACCCCCTCGAAGAGTATGTATTTGCAAGCAGTGGTGGGCGGTGAGATGCAGCTAGAATCTCTCTGCCCTCTCGCGCTGGCTGGCTTGGAGGGTGAGACGATCCTTTGGTGAGGGGGGGGGTGTCTCTGCACACACCATGATGGCGATGCTATAGCTGATGGAGGTGAATGGTTCGTGTTTATATCCCCCTGTTGCCTTTTGTTTGTAGGGACATCTTGCTGGCCATGTTGATTTGGACGAAATTCAGACCCCCTCGTCCTACTCCAACCCCAATAAATAGAACGCTCCTCCGTTCTCTCAACTGCACCAGTTACGCTTTGCGAAATTAGATGGAAGGGTGCCCCCTTTCCCCCGCTTTTTTTTTTTTCCCCCCATCCCGGTCTTTTACCTGATGATGGCTTCTTTACCGAAGCAGATATACCGCTACACAAGCTGTTGGGGGAGGGGGGTGGAACCCTTATGATTGGATTGTGACAAATAGGGCTCCGCTTGAATAAATTTGGTTTAGTAGCAAGCAGTTCTTAACTAACGCATATTATTTCAAGGCTTTGAATGCGTTACTCTCTTTTCGGTGGCTTTCTGTGTGTGAACCAAGCAGCTGGCAATATCCCAATCCAGAGAACTGACATTCCTGTCACTGTGGAGATTGGGACAGACAGTTGTAAATCTTTGGGGGAGATGTATAGATTTTTGTAATTAACGATTTATTTATTTATTTTTGTCACGATGAAGCAACTTCTAGATCGACTAAACACCAGGCTTATTTCTGGAGAGTTTTTATATGTAAAAGCCTCCTTGAAAGGTTGTTTTCCCTGGTTAACTATGTAATGTTCCAGAATTTGTGTATTAAGGCATTGGCTTTGAGTGTAATCCCTTCAAATTTACTTTTAATTACAACTTTATTTCAGGTGGATTTAAGACAATGGTCTTTTCCCACTCCAGTTTCAAACTATTGACTGAAATGAGAAAACCTCAGGAATTTGAATATTTGGAGATAATTAACTTTTAAAATAAAAAGTACACAACTTTAGAATACATGTCTACTATAGTTTCACTTTTAAAATGAAGTCACCATGTTACTGCGATCTTTGTCTTATAATATTTATTTTGCTGGCAGTTCTTTTGAATGATGGCTAATCAGTTCTATTGTACATGGACCATAGAGCAAAGCTGAAAGGCTTGTGGGGGCTATATTGTCACTCTTGATGCTGTCCAAAGAAACTAGTATGGAAAGCTCCTGCTGGGAGATTTTCTTCTTTGTTCATTCTCATTTTAAGAAAATGCCTTTGGGGATAGATGAGATCCCTGGTGTGAATCTTGTTAGGTAAAGTTTCTCTGTACAGAAATGAACCACTATTGGAAAAATACCAAATACTTGGAGGGGGGATGTATGGTATTTTTCTATAATTGGTCTCCCTTTTTGCAGTCTCCAAAATCTAGTTGAATTTTTCCAGAGTAGTTTTCCACTTTTATATTTCTCTTGTGAATTATTAAAATCATAATAACTGTTTTGACAAGTTATATCATTGTGTGTGCCTGAGACTTTGAGGAGCTGCGATAAATTACTTAGCTGGTGATAGTTAAAAATTTGTTAATACTTCATTTGGTTAGATTTATTCTTTTTGGGGGCATAGGGAAGGTGATTTCAGGAATACCTATAGTTATTTAAATGTGGCTGATATATCTTTTGTAAAGTTTGGAAGTAGAAATATTTTCTCAGGGTGTTCTGTTTGTAATTTTGGAGTTAAATAGCATACATCCTTATAAGGTAGGAAAAAATTGTAAGAAAAGAAAACCTAGGGTTTTTTTTTTTTTTTAAGTTTTAAGTGAAAATGTAATACTTTCACCTAGAAAGATTTGACTAAATACAGTGACTTTTTCTTTGTCCTAATTCACAACCCATAGTTCATTTTGCTGTCGCATTATATTCGTATTTTTCTAGTGACCCTTTTAGTGAACACTCAAATCTGTAACTGCTCTGCAAAAATTGGATGAAAAACCAGATCTGTCCCTGGTGTAGGAATAGTACAAGCTGCAACACTTGAAGATATTGCCAGTGAAAATTAGATTGTGAGTCATACATATTAAAATAATTCCTCTGTGCATATTTGTTTATGAAAATTTTAATTTTTCGTTAAAGGAATACCCATAAATGACATTTTTGAGAGAGTGGAGGGTGGCTATTTTGTTATCTTTAGAAAGTTAAAGACAGAGTTTGATAATCAAATGATCTTGGTAGTTAATCCATGAAGGTGTCATATAGTGCTATTTATTTATTTATTGGTCTTTTTGAGACAGATTTTCATTGTGCAGCTCAGACTGGCCTACGACTCACTTTGTAGTCCAGGTCAATATTGAACTTGCAGCAATCCTGCCTCAGCCTCTTGAGTGCTGGGAGTACAGGTGTGAGCCCACCATGCCTAGCCTAGTGCTTTTCACTTTATTTTACTTATTTTTAATTTTTTTCTTTTTGTTTTTTTGATACAGGGTCTTACTGTGTAGTTCAGGCTGCCCCTGAACTCACTTTATAGCCCAGGCTGGTCTTGAACTTGCAGCAGTCCTCCTGCCTTAGCCTCCCAGGCATGCGCCATCGCACCTGGCATGTAGTGCCTTTTTTTTCTTTAGAGTTTTTATGTATTAAAATTCAAACCAAGCAAGGCAGGGGTAGAGGGGTACACACCTGTAATTCCAGTTTTCAGGGAGATTGAGGCAGAAGGACCACAAATTGGAGTCCAACCTGGGCAATTTAGGGATTTAGTGACTCCTTGTCTCCAAAAAAATGAAGGGCTGGGGACATAACTCAGTGATATAACTAAAGATAACAAAATAGCCATCCTCCATTCTCTCAAAAATGTCATTGCTGAGGTTCAATCCTCGTACCATAAAAACAAACAACTCAAACCAAGTTAAATTACAGTTTTAACTCAAGAGAACTGTAGGAGAGTAGTTCATCATTTTAATGGGAGTTAGTAATGGAATTCAAGTGGAAGAGAAGCCATAGTTTTGAAAGTACTATATAAGCTCATCAGTAAATTCTATCATCATCCTGTTTCTTTATTTTCAAGAATTAACCACTTAGTTTTTATTTTTGTGGTATAATTTGCCTGTTTTTATTTCAGATAGAGGCAAGTGTGACAGTTTATTCATGATTTGATTTTAATCTCCATAACTTGCTTTTGTTAAGTGCCATATTTAGATGGCTTTTGTTTTATGTCACTAATTTTGTGAACAGTATTTAAAAACAATTTATAAAGCACTTGAGTTTTTAAGTATTTCATGGAATTGTTTTGAAATACTGCTGCCTCTTCCTCTGTGGTTTTCTCCTGGGCAACTGCATTGTTTGTCTCTTCAAAGAGTGTCTTGTAATCCCTGTTAATTGCAGTAGTGCTTAGTGTCCTGTCCAGAGCTGATTAACCTTGGGTTTCGCCTGGTATATGCCATCAACATGTTGCTCCAGGGTTCTTGCTGAGGCTTTTGAATTCAGTGTAATATGTGCCCTTTCTTGCTGGTAACTAGGAATAAGAAAGTGAAATGACTTGTGGCTATAGTGGGAACAGGGAAGAAATATCTAAATTTTAGAGAAAAATGTACATGATGAAATGTAGCCTTTAAAAATGAAACAAAAACCCTGGCTTATTCATAGTGATTGTAGTGTTTTGTAAAGTATTTGGCTCTGGAGGTAAGCCTCTTTTTAAGTAGATAATAATATCGTATATCATGTTATCTCATGTGATCTTTCCCACAGTTCTTTTTTTTTTTTTTTTTGTCTTTTTCCTTTTTATCGGTACCGGGGATCGAACTCACGACCGCCTGATTGCAAGGCACGTACTTATGCCACTGAGCTAAATCCCCAGCCCCTTTCCCACAGTTCTTTCAACTAGAGAAGTAATACAGCACAGTAAGTCCCCTTTATAGGTAAAGTAAACCTAAAAAGGGTAAGTGACTAACCCAAGGTCATACAAGTAAAAGTGGCAAAGATTTGAATATAGGTCTTGTGATTTCAAAACTCTTCACTGCAGGCCTCCCTAAAGGTACCATGTGGCACAGTGACAGTCCTGGAGTCCTCCAGCATACCTAGCTCACAAGGAATTCTAGTTATGTTGTTGTTAACACTTTCCCTTTAATTCAATGCCAGAGCTATTTTGGATATTCCGTAGGCTTTTTGCAGGCTGCCTTGCAAAAAGTTTGGAGTTAGTTAATTGGAAATCATCATGTTAATTTTTGCAAATACTATTTTGCTTGAGAAAATTCA